TTTGACCAGCGAATTATATCAACGGTTGGTAAAAAGATATTTGAAAATATTAGCTATTCAGATTAACATGTAAAATGACTTAAGGGTATACATATATTTAATAATAATAATAATAATAATGATAATAATAATAATAATAATAATAATAATAATAATAATAATACTTGTTTTTTAAAAAATAAATAATTAAGTCAATCATATTAACTACTTGGGGGATTTATTGATAAAAAGAGTATTCAAATCACACAACAAATTAAAGTGGGAAACTACCTCGGAATGTCCTTGTTTGGCAATCATCAGTTAGCTCTTCAATATTAGTATATATTTAATATTTTATGCCCTAATTTTTATTTGCTCTCCCTTATGTCCCGTATTTGGTTTCAACCATACCTATACAATTATTTTATTGACAATGATAATCAATCTTGACTATATTATCTTGCATTTAATTTGTAAATTTAGAATTATCTATTTAAATACGCAAATTCAACATTCAATTATCTATGCATGAACAATTCCAATATAATTTTGCCTTGATATATACTTTAAAGTACTTATTTAAAAAAATATTGGGCATTATTTCAACCGCGCAATGCGCGTAAAAAACTAATAATGTCATAAGAAGCAAAACATAGTACGGAGTTTTAAATTTTCAAGGTTCAGACATAATTACCACAAAATAAAAATGTTCAACATTATATTGTCAAATATTAACACTTTGGAGGATTATATATGTAAATATTGCTCATCAATTTTCCTCATGTACAGTACAAGAGAGACAATATATGTACCCAGGGAGGGAGCCAGAAATTTGGTTGAGGGGGGTCGAAAAAGTACAGATAGATTCAGAAAAAATTTTCAGTAAAAACGAAACATTAAAACAAAAGAGATTATTTAAAAATAAATAAATAAATTACCTAAGAAAAATATATTTGTAAATATTGTTGAATATGGACGAAAAATAAAACACATCAAAACTTTATAAAAATATTCATAACAAAATATGTAACATAATTAATTTGATAAAATAATTTGAATTGAAAACACATTATAAATTACACATACTATTAAAAACGTGACTGTGTTTGAAGTCATAGGGGAATGAGTAAAAAAAATTGTAAAACTATGTTAATGCATATATTTGAACCCTTAAACTTTAGTATATTGCCAAACATGTGCTTTACCACCTAACTCATTTCTCATTAACATTTGATAGTTTTTTTATACTAATACTAAAAGATGTACTATATATACATATATACATACAAAGACTATATATGGAGTAGGGATGGGGTGGTGGGGGGGGGGGGGGGCAGCTGCCCCCTGCTCCCCTTTGGCTCCGTCCCTGTATGTACCGTTCGAAAATTGAAGATTAATATTTATACCACTAATAATTTAGAAGTGACATTAATAATTGGCATATTATGAAGGGACATAAATTACCATTTTTTCTAATAGTAACATTAATTGCTCAACCAAAAACCAAGCAAAAGACAACACATCTTTAACTATATTTTACGATAATTTTTGTAAGGCTGGTATATTTTAGATTTAGGAAAAAGTGTCAAATTGGCCCCCTAAGTCGAGTGGATAGTGCAATTGGGTCCCCTAAGTGAAAAAAGCTTCATTCAGGTCCCCTAAACCTGTAAAATTGTTCAATTAAGTCCAGGTTGACTTGTTTATCAAGTTAAATGCATATGGTGTTGACACGTGTCCTTATTTTATTTTTTTATTAAAAATATTATTTATTATAAATTAATTAAAACAATAATAATTAAAAAATTTATTTTTTTTATTAAAAGTACTCTTTATTATAAATTAATTAAAATAATAATAATAATAATAATAATTTAAAAAAAAAAAAAACAGCCGTGGCCGAACGACCACGGTCCAGTCCCCTCCGTCTGGAACGAGGGCGACGGCGAAGGCGATAGCCCTCGTCTAGATCTAGAAGACGAACATGGCCGTCTTCCTTAGACGGTCGTGGCCAGACGGCCATGACTGTCCTTGAAGAAGGAAGACAGCCACCGGCTGTCCAGCGTGGACAGCTGGCGGCTTTTTTTTTTTTAAAAAAAATTTTAATTATTATTATCATTATTATTATTTTAATTATTTTTAATAAATAATATTTTTAATAAAAAAATAAAATAAGGACACGTGTCAACACCGTATGCATTTAACCTGATAAACAGGTCAACCTGGACTTAATTGAACAATTTTACAGGTTTAGGGGACCTGAATGAAGCTTTTTTCACTTAGGGGACCCAATTGCACTATTCACTCGACTTAGGGGGCCAATTTGACACTTTTTTCTTAAATTTATTTTTGAAGTTGCACTTATACAATAATGAATGATCTTGTTGTGATGAGGATCGACAACGGGGCAAGATCAGGGGTTCTATTTGGACTTACCAAAAATCAAATCAACAGTAGAAATACAAAATAGAAACAGGGAGTTTTTTTTTTTTTTTTTTTTTTTTTTTTTTTTTTTTTTTTCAATAATGGTCCTCGACTATTGCTTATTCTTAATGTTGCATCTCGATTTTCAATGGCACCAAATGTGATCTATCGACTTTCAAAAACTCATCCAATTAAGTCATTCGTTAAGTATTCCATTTACTCAGAGTTAAAATGGAGGGCATATTTGTCCATTCACCTAATTTGTGCATAATACACTCAGTAATAGTTGATAGACTATTTTGGGAAAAAACTATTTTATTTATTTCTTTTTTGTTTTTAGACTCTATCAAATTAGAATTACGATAGAATTTTTTTTTTCTCACAAAAAATATGGACCATTTTGAAAAAAAAAAACATTTTTATTTTTAGACTCTATCAAATTAAAATTTCTGTAGATTTTTTCTCAAAAATATATAAATTGTTGCGGAGCTTAGGGAAGATGAAAACGAAGGTAAGAAGGAACAAAAGAGATTTCTCATTTATTTTGATCAAAGCACACAAAAGTTCTTTTATACAGCAAAGAAGAAAAGAAGGGGGAAAAATAGTTACAACAACAGTTCTAACAACATTTCAACTTCTAAACTGCCAAGGGGCTAGGATGGTGACAAGTGTCATGCAATGATCAATCCTGCTGATCTCCTGAAAGCCCCCCTTCAAGCTAGATTATACAAATTTATCAAGCCAAGCTTGGAGACATAACTCTGAAAGGAGGCTAGACAGTGAGTCTTGGTGAATGGATCTGCTAACTGATTTTCAAAGGAGATATGGAACATTTTAATGAGTCCTTTGTGTAGCTTTTCTCTAACAAGATGACAATCAAGCTCTATGTGTTTTGTGCTTTCATGAAATACCGGATTTTCTGCAATTGCAATAGCAGATTTGCTATCACAATATATAGCCACCTCCTCATCATGCTGTATTCCAAATTCTATCAGCAGAAACCTTAGCCACTGAATCTCACAAGTTGTAGCTGCTAGTGCTCTGTATTCTGCTTCTAATGAGGATTTGGAGACTGTGGGCTGTTTCTTAGACTTCCAAGAGATCAGTGCATTCCCAAGAAATATACAGAAACCAGTCACAGATTTTCTTGTATCAATACATGCACACCAGTCTGAGTCAGAGAATGCTTTTAGGTGCAGATCAGAGGAGGATGAGAAGAATATTCCTTGACCAGGGGCTGCTTTTATATACCTTAGCACCCTATATGCAGCTTAGAGATGCAGGTTTGTGGTCTTGTCAAGGAATTGGGAAAGCTGCTGTGTTGCAAAACTAATGTCAGGCTTGGTGACAGTTAAATAGAGTAGTTTGCCAATGATCCTCCTGTACTGGCTATTATCCTCAATAAGCTCACCTTCATTTCTGCTCAATTTATGTGAAGGGATTGTAGGGCTATAAACAGGTTTTGCATTTGTGAAACCTGTATCTTCAAGTAACTCAATGGCATATTTTCTTTGGCACACTGCAATGCCTTTACTATGCTTGGCCACTTCTAAGCCAAGAAAATACTTCAAAGGGCCTAGATCCTTTATTTGAAAATTTGTGCTGAGTTGCTGTTTTACTTCTTGTATAATCTTCAAATCTGCACTTGCAATCACAATATCATCAACATAAACCAATAGAGCCACAAAAGACTCTTCTTTACCTCTAGTGAACAAGGAGTTGTCAGGGACTGCCTGCTTAAATCCCATATTCTGTAAGGCAAGTGTAAGTTTGGTATTCCATTGTCTACTGGCCTGTTTTGGGCCATACAAGGACTTGATCAGATTGCATACTTGGTTATTATTGTTTCCTGGGTATCCAAGAGGCATTTGCATATAGACCTCCTCGTCTAAATCCTCATTTTGGAAGGCATTGTTCACATCCATTTGATGAAGTTCCCAATTCTTTGCTGCTGCCACTGCTAACAGAGTTCTAATAGTAGTCATCTTGGCAACTGGGCTGAATGTGTCTAAGTAATCAATACCAAGGGTCTGATTGTATCCCTTTGCCACAAGTCTAGCCTTGTATCTTTCAACACTGCCATCAGCTTTGTATTTTACTTTACATACCCACTTGCATTCAATGGGCTTTTTGAAGGGGGGTAAGTCCACCAGCTGCCAAGTGTTATTCTTCTGCAATGCATCAATCTCATCTTGCATAGCTTTTCTCCAACAATCATGCTTTACTGCATGGTTGTTTCTTGGCTCAGATTGGTGAGATATATTCATCACAAATGACTGGAAGGATGGTGTCAGGCCGCTGTAATTTATCACCTTGCTCATTGGATGAGGAGAAGTTTTCAGCTTGGTGCTTTGACAGACATAGTCCTGCAAGTAATTTGGGACTTATCTGTGCCTGGTAGATCTCCTGGTATCTTGTTGCTGAGGATTATGAGTAGTATTGGATGGCAGTTCAGGAGGTAACACAGTATGTTCATTACAACTGCTGGCTGGACTTTGCATCTCACTTGGTGGTTGTTCTGATTGAGAATGGTTGTATTCACTTTCTCTAACTGGTGACTGCTAAGGAGTTAGAACCTGGTGAGGCCAAGCTTGTTCACTTTATCTACTAGCTTGTCCTTGAGTCTGAGACACATCATGTTCCTCGAGTGGTGCAGGGATCATGGTAGGAAGTATGATCTCAGATCCTACTCCTGGAGTTATAGACTGTTGAAAGGGGAATACCAGCTCATGAAAAGCAACATCCCTAGATATGAATAATTCTTTGGAAGCAAGGTCATATACCTTGTAACATTTTGTTCCACCTGCATAGCCAAGGAAAACACATTTCTTGGCTCTGGCTTCCAGCTTTGATTTGGGCCCAACAGTAGTGGCATATGCTAGGCACCCAAAAACCCTCAAGTGTTGATATGATGAGATCTTCTTAATCAGAATCTGATATGGGACTTGGTTGTTGATGGCAACAGATGTGAGCCTATTAATTATGTAGGCTGCATGTAGGACACATTCTCCCCAAAACTTGTCTGGCAAATTGGCCTGAAACTTTAAGGCTCAAGCAGTGGATAACAAATGACCATGCTTCCTTTCTACTCTGCTGTTTTGTTGGGGTGTGTAAGTACAGGATGCCTGGTGTATAATCCCCTTCTGCCTGAAGAATTCCACCATCTTAAATTTCAGCCCATTGTCTGATCTAACACACTTTATGTTTACCCCAAACTGGTTCTCAATAAGATTACAGAATTCAATGATCAGCCCCCCTGACTTCTACTTTAGACTTCATCAGATATATCCATACAGCTCTACTGTGATCATCCAATATTGTAAGAAAGTAGTGATGACCATGAGTGGTGGGCACTTTGTAAGGACCCCATATATCCATATGTAACAAATCAAAACAGTTAGTTGACAAAGAGCTGCTGGACTGAAAGGAAAGCCTTTTTTGTTTTGCAAAATGACAACTATCACAAATCGGATCCTTATTAAACTGAATCATTGGTTCCATTTCTCTCAAGGATTGCAATTTTGAATGTGAGGCATGCCCAAGCCTGGCATGCCATGGAATACATTTATTAACAGCTTAAATAGAACTACATACAGGATATGTAAGAATGGGAAAAACTAAGTAATATAGCCCATTTTTCAGCTCAGCTCTTCCAATCATTTTGCCATGGGGAACATCCTGTATAATACATTGGTCAGAGTGCATCTTCACAATTTGGTTGGAGTTCTTAATAAAGGAGCTCACTGAAATCAAGTTATAATGGAACTCAGGAATGTAGAGAGCATTGTGCAGAATCAAGCTATCAGATAAGTAGACTGACCCTGTGAAACCAATGGCAGCCTGCTGCCCATTTGGCATGCTAACATACATATTATATGCTATTTTCTGATTATCAACAGCTCTAGGTCACATACAATATGGTGAGTAGCACCACTATCAATAATCCAATCTGTTCTACCATGCTTAACAGAATTTACTGAAGGAAACATACCTTCATTCTGAAACTCCACTGCCACAACTCTTGGTCTGTATGAACTCCATGAATCTTTTCATCATCTTGAGTGAATCTCATGTTCCCATCAGTGCTTTGATGATGGATTTGGTTCACAGATTGGTTTCTTGGCCTTGGTTTCCATTCGAGAGGATATCCACGCTGTTTGTAACATTTGTCCTGAGTGTGACCTGTGTACCCACAATATGTACACACAGGTTTCTTGTTGAACCCTGATGCTTTCTTGAACCCTTGCTGATGGTTAGCATCTGTTCTGCCCAGAAGAGCACTAGCAGCAGTACTATTCTCTCCTGCCTGATATAGCTGACTCCCAAAACCATTGTAGGCCATGTGGAACTGCCTCTCTTGTTAGCAATCATAGAGTAGGCTTCATTAACATCTGGTAGTGGCCTCATCAACATGATCTAGTTCCTAGCACCTGTGTATTTCTCATGCAGTCCAATCAGAAAGATAGACAATCTGTCCTTTTCTGCTTGTTCATTCAATTCTCTTCCCATATTCGCACTTTGTGTTGCAAACACAACTCATTCGAGGCCTAAGGATGCTCAGCTCATCCCACAAAAGATTTTGTCTAGTGAAATACTCATTCAGAGAATTGTCCCCCTTGCTTGGTTTGGTAGATCTCACACTTAATTTCAACAATTCGAAACAAGTCCTCCTGACTGAATCTCCTTTTCAAGTCGTTCCAAATGCCATGAGCAGTGTCAATCCATAACACGCTACGAGCAATAGTGGGGGAAAGTGTGCGTACAATCCAAGTGGATACGATATTGTTGCACCTTTCCCAAGCTAGATATCTATCTAGATTATCTGTAGAAGGCTTTATAATGCTTCCATTGATGAATGGAACCTTATTTTTACATGAGAGGGCCATTGTCATTGCCCTAGCCCACGAGTAGTAGTTCAGACCCTCGAGGGGAGTGGAAACCAGCTCTAATGCCGGATTCTCGTTGATATGAAGAAAGTAAGGGTTGGATTGTGATTGAGGATCGAATGTTACCTCATTTCCATTCAATCCAGTTGCCGGAACAACAGGAGGTGGAGTTGTATTTATTGTGTTTACGTTGACGGTTGGACTGGCTGCTGTATTGTCAATCGGTGGTGTTCGATTGCTCAGGGAAGGCCAGGCTGTCGCCACCATTGAAGCTCATAAAAAGGAAACTCTGATACCATGTTGCGGAGCTCAGGGAAGATGAAAACGAAGGTAAGAAGGAACAAAAGAGATTTCTCATTTATTTTGATCAAAGCACACATAAGTTCTTTTATACAGCAAAGAAGGAAAGAAGGGAGAAAAACAGTTAAAACAACAGTTCTAACAATCCTGCTGATCTCCTAAAATAAATAGATAAAACTTCACACTCTAACCCTAAAATTTTCAATTTCTTCTCTATTTCTATCAAATTTTACAATACGTTTCGTAACTTTCATAAATACTCATATACTTTTTATTTTAAACTTTTAGTATGATAATATATATATATATATATATATATATATATATATATATATATATATATATATATATATATATATATTATCATACTAAAAGTTTTATAGAAATCAATGCAATAGCTATATATCACAATAAGTATTATTTTTATCATTGAAAATAACATTTTTTAACATACTTTGGTAAAAAAAAATGTTTTGCTTTCAAATTTAAATTTATTAATATTCATATCTAAAATACAAACAAACTTCAAAATGATAAGAACTTGCAATTGTGTTAAAGGAGGAGGCTTTAATTTAGGTTTAAGATTATTCGTTTTGTGCTAATTATTTTAGCATTTGGTTTGTTTTACTTGTACTTTAACATATTGGAGATTAATTGGTAACCATAGTTGTAGACTCCCTTTAGCATGATGTACTACATGGTACTATTGGTTGCCAGGGATTTGAAAGTGGTAGCTATAGTTTGTACTAACTTGGAATGGACCTAATGGCCTCGCGGGTGAAGTTAAACTAACTTTTCAAAAATACTTTCCAACAGTTTGCCACTGATCGAGAAGTGAAGCACACTTCACGGTTCCGAGAAGTGCGCCCCTCAGCGGTATGTTCGAGAAGTGAACTTACTTTCCGATCATAGGCGAGAGTTTACTTTTCAGCTCAACTGAGAAGTTTACTGGAGAAACATATATTTTGATCCAACATTTTGATACACTCAGCAATGGTCCCTCGACTTAACGCTGAGTACAGAACACCTAATGGAGGACTGAATTGGGTGAATTTTTGAAAGCCAAAGGACCACAATTGGTGTAATTGAAAGTTGAAATGCAAAATTGAGAATGTGTAATAGTCGAGGGACCATTTTGACAGCACATGACCCCTAATTTTTTTTTAAATAAGAAATTAATTCATTAAATCAGCAAGAAGACAATCGACAAGATAATGAGGAGGATCATCAAACCACTTCTCGTAACCTGATACAGAAACGACTTCCCTAACAATAGTATGAGAAGCATGATTCGCAGATCGCTAATATGGCAAATTTTTACTGCTAATTTTTTTTTAAAAACACACACACACACACATAATGTGTTTGGAATTCATAAATTGATCTTATTTGTAAATGAAAATAAAATTTTAGAAGGAATTGACATTGAAAAATAATTTTATTTATAAATATGCACAAAAAATGTAATTTTAAAATTAAAATTTGAATTGTATTATTTTCTTTGTGGAATTTTTATAGATTGTATTTGGACAAAATTTTTTATTACATTTTTATTTTGTTTTAGGGAAAATTGAAATTAATGCCCCTCCATAATATGCCAATTATCAATGTCACTCCTGAATTATTAGTTATGTAAATGGTTGCTCTTTAATTTTCAAAACGGTACATATATTGCCTCTCTTGTACCGTACAAGAGGAAAATTGAGGAGTAACATTTACATATATAATCCTCCAAAGTGTTAATATTTGACAATTTAAGGTTGAACATTGATAATTGGCATATTATGAAGGGACATAAATTACAATTTTACTTTTCTTTTAATAGAATATCAAAACTTGAAGTCTAAATAGATTTGGACTTAATTACCTGAATTATAAAGATCTTATATAATTTTATCGTTATTTTTTAGAGATCTTTTGAGATTATGTTTTTTATTTCTATAAATAGATAGGACCCCTATTTTTAATCGAATGTCAATGGTAATTGAAGCATGTGTTCCATATCAATTAAAAGTCTAAGCTGATAGTTTGATTACACATTTATATTTATACTAGTTTTTTACGCGCATTGCGCGATTGGGATGATGCCCAATATTTTTCTTAAATACGTATTTTAAAGTATATCAATGCAAGATTATATTGGAATTGTTCATGCATAGATAATTGAATGTTAAATTTACATATTTAAATTGGTAATTCTAAGTTTACAAATGTAAGATAATATAGTCAAGATTGATTATAACTGTCAATAAAATAATTGTATGGGTATGGTTGAAACCAAATACAAGATATAAGGGATAACCAATAAAAATTAAAGCATAAAATATTAAATATATACTAATATTGTTTAAGGAGATTCTGACAGTAGGAGCGTTATGCTGTGAAGGGCTTCATATCCATAACTTCTATACTGTAGATTCATAATTTCTATACTGTAGATCCATAATTTCTATACTTTAGATTCATAATTTCTAAACCGTAGATTCAAATACAGTAGATTCATAATTTCTATACTGCAGATTCATAATATCTGTACTATTCATAATTTCTGTACTGTAAATTCATAATTTCTAAACTGTATAGTTGTCAATTATGAACATATAGTTCTCCGATTTGTGAAAATAGAGTTCAACAATTGGAATCTAAAGTATAAATTTTATGAATCTACAGTATAGAAATTATGGATATGAAACCGTGTCCACCTTGCAAGGTGGTCACGTGCTCATAGCATAATTTGCCGGATTTGTGGTTAGAGTTCTATTAAGACTTTAATATTAGAATTAGATTAATGTTTTAGTTATAATTCTATATTAGACTTTAATATTAGAATTAGACTAACAGTGAATTAACGGTACTTAATGGAAAAGTTAACGTATCGAATAATCATATAATTAAGGATAAATTAGGAAATCTCAAGGAAAAATAAAAAGCTGAACAATCTAAACTATTCATTTGATTTAATAATTTGACGGTCATTTTTTCTACCCAATGTTTATAATTAAATAAATATTTGAAAGTATATCAATGCAAGATTATATATGAGAAGTTCAACATAAGTAATTTAATGTCTAATTTGTTTATTTAAATATGTAATTCATAGTATATGAATACAATGTAATATAGGAGATTCATTATAATTGTTACTAAAAAAATTTTAAATAGTAACCAAGTATTTTTGTTGCAAAGGGTTCTAATATATTTAATGAATGCACGTATATACAAGATCAATGAATAAATCAACGGTACCAGTCCTTTAGGTGTTTTGCTCAGTGTTCATTTAGTTCAAACATTATTGTTGAATAAATTATTATGGATAAAGAAATTCCTAATTTAAGGAATTTAGATGTAGTAAAAATTTAAATTTTTTAATTATAATGTAACCCAAAGATATTGGACGATTGAAAAATATGATGTAACCCAAAGATCAAAATACTAAAGAAAGTGTTTTTGGTTATTCAACAGTACTGAAAAAACAAACATTACAATTTACAATATTTTCACTTAGCGTTTTTTAGAATGATTTTCCCAAAACACATCTATATTTTTAAAAAATATTATTATTAAAACAATTATTATTATTATTATTATTATTATTATTATTATTATTATTATTATTATTATTATTATTATTATTATTATTATTATTATTATTATTATACCCTTAGGTCATTTTAAATGTTAATTTAAATAGTTACTTTTTTAAAATATCTTTTTACCAACCGTTGATATAATTCGCAGGTCAAATCCACTAACGCTAACCGCTAACTGCGGATTGTCAAATAAGAACATTGCGAGGCAGTTTCTCACTTCAATTTGTTGTGTGATTTGAATACTCTCTTTGTCAACAAATCCCTCAAGTAGTTAATATGATTGACTTTATTAATTTAAATTTTTTAATGATATTAATAAAATACTTGGTAAATAAATACATATCATTATTTTGTATTATAATTTTAATATTTAATTAGAAAATAGTGCAAAAAAAAAGATAATAGATAATATAGTGAATATAATCAATGGATGAATTTGAATGTAAAGAATTTTTACATTGGAGAAAAATAAAGACAATATAACTAATGAACTTATTTCTTTTAATTAATTTATTGATAATGAATAATTTTTTTAATAAAGACATTGTAGGGACAATGTAGCGAAT